TTCAAACACATTGTGGAAGTATTAATTTATATTAAAGCAAAAAAATATATATGTACATATATCATACGTATTTTGGTCTGGTAAACAGTCTTCCATTATTTCCGAATTAAATTGTAGATTTTGAGTCTACAGATTTAGATTAATCCGATTTATGTTTTGCTTTGCTCATTAATCTTTTGCCCTTTTAAAGGTAAAGTCATGCTTCTCACAAAGAAACCCTTATCTCTATTGGCAAAAGATTAGGACAGGCGTCTCTTGCGGACAACTTTTCACCTGCCAAATCATTGGCCATAAACAGGAACAGATGGTAATCACTTGGTTAGAGGTCTTGACAGCGTTGCCGCCGGCTTTCAGCTACATCCTTTTGCGTTCAACAAATTCTCGCTCAAACCAATTCTGGTACTTGGTTGTACCTTCTAGCTTCTTATCCTTTATTACTTTGATTCCGCACCACTTTTATTACTTATTAAACCTCGCTTTTCTTCATCATGCTGAGTTTTCACAATTTTCGGCACAATTGTATCGGTTGATCCTCTCCATCCTCCGCCACTTCGCCGTGCTCTTTACTGATCGGTGGTAGTATATCAATTTGCATTGGTGCCTCATTGGTGGCCGTGCAGCAGCAGCCATAAGGCTGGTAATAATCGCCCGCCATGTAGAATAGTGTCCGAGGTGCTGCTGATGTATATGGTCTAGTATTGGCGACCACAGTAGCCGAGTGGTTAGCATTGTGTACTTCCATTCGGAAGGTTCGTGTTCAAATTGCCGTGCGACCGACATCCAAATATTATAGAAAATTAATTTAAATAAAAAATTAAGCAAAACTTTCTAATTGCGGTCGCCCCTCGGCAGGGAATGTCAACCCCTCCCCTCCTAGTTGGGGACATGAAATAAAGCTCCCCAAAAAAAGCCATCAGCCGTTCGGAGGCGGCTTAGTATAAACTGTAGATCCCTCCATTCGTTGGAAAAACATCAATACGCTAAACCACAAATTGGAGGAGGAGCTCGGCCGAAAATCGCTTCAGCGGTGACAAAGCGCCAATAATATATATATATATTGTTCTGATGAAACACAAATACTGAGGGGTAGGCCAAAGCTGGGCGCTTCTGTGTGATTGCTTCTATTAGATGGTCCAATTGCGGACAGTACAGGTCTGAATTAAGACTTTCACTGTAAGGGATCATTCCCAATCCCTCCAAGCATACAACAAAACTTTACTGCCCGTCAATCTCGGCTTGAAGACCGTAAGTGTCCGGTCTCTGTCGTTCAACCACGACAGTTTGGTTTAACCCAATAACCAAGGTAGCTTCGAACTCAATGACTACCACCTTGAGTTTTAGTTCATCTCGTTTGAGAGATGGGAATTAGGCAAGCGTAAAATGGGCAAGGCGATTTAACAGGAAGTTCTATAAAGTTTTAGTAGTGTAGTGTAGTAGTAGTTTGTGTCACCGCAATGTTCATGTACTATCGCGGGCAAAATCTCTGAATATCACTTGCATTCCGGAACACACGAATGCAAAAGGCAATAAAAAGCCGAATGAATTGGATCGACTTGACGTCTCGGACCATCTTGTAACCATCAGCCTTAAAGGCCCCTTCCAACAGACCAAACTGCTAAGAACTTTGTATTTTTGTAGTTGTATTGACAGGGCATCTACCCCAAAGATATCCTCTCCACAAGTTAGTTAAAGTGGAATCGGCTAAGTGCAGAGCAAGAGCACAAGATGGCGAAAGACTAGTACCAACATGAAGGAGATAGGTAGACACAAAATTACTTGATCGAAAGAATTTTTTGGCAAAAGTAGAAACTGGATTGCAGAACAAATCCTGGCTTAGACAATGATTACATCGAGGCCAATTTTTATTTGGACCGAAGTTTATTTGGGAAGCTGTGTCTTGTTGGGTCTGAATATTTCAACAAATTAACTAAATATTATTAATTGTGGCCAACAACAGTTAGCTTTATGTCCTTCAGAGCTGAACGCTTTGGTAAAACAGTTTGACCATTAAACTCAAGTTAAAATAAATAAAATGTTCATAATAAAATTGGAGTTGAAAATCTTTCGTAATTTCAACATTCCCCAAAGCATGTTGTGCATTTGGAACTTCCATTTGGAAGAAAATATCGAAGAAACTAGAGCAGATTATAATGAGTTGAACATGAGTCTCCAAATATGAATCGGTTTCCGCTAAATAAGCCTAGATGAATTCCCAAATCCTTCGCGTTCGATCAGTGGAACGTTAAATAAAAATCACAAAATTTGTTGCTCAGCTTTTTCTTATCAACACATTTTTTTATCATGCTTGTTAACACACTGTCTACTCCTTTTCAATCTACCAATACTGTCATTACCCTCCAAGAAGGCTTCCGATCATTTCAGTCAACATATACCGTCAGCTCGTAGAACGATTTTCATATCACTGTCTTAAGACCGAAATGACAAATGTGATGTTTTCATTTGTATACGTGTACGTCATTCTCTCTGTGCTGCCTGGTGCTTTTTCGTCATTCTTGTCGGACAAACAGAACATAGCTGAGCAACAGCATTGATACCAAAAAAAAAAAAACAATATTGACGTAAAAAAACTCAGCAGTGCCGTACAAGCCGAACATAGATGAGCGACAGAATTGATGCTGAAGCAAATCAGCATTGAGGAAAAAATTTCCTTACATATACATATATTCCTTATATATCACAGAAAACAAAAACATTGTTATGTAGCTACAATTGTCATAAAAAAATATCTTTTACGATGACGACTACTAGCGCAGGCAAACGTAACATTTTCCCTGCCATAAGAAGTCTGATGAGGAGATGTGGTGATCTCCGAAACACCTGTCACTTCTACCATTTTTTCTTTGTTGTATAAAAAAAGTAACATTTCCAATACTTTTTTATATTAGTTTTAAATCATTTAATACAAATCTTAATTAAAATCTAACGAACTATTAACGTACGCTGCTTCATTTTTGACGTTTTCTCTACACAAACAGAATATACATACGTACTCCTCACAAAATAAAAGTTAACGAAATTTAAGGCCTCTGGCGCTTAATGTAAAAAAGAAATCGGGTAAATGTGAAATATTTTGGATAAAAATGCTGTAGGTATTTCGTGTCAACACGGTTGCACTAACGGCTACAACATCGAGCTGGGGGAAGCAATATTGTTTTTAAAAACTTCTCATTATATCTTATTGAAGCTCTGGCGACAAGAATGTGAAAACGGCTGTCGTAATATTTTACTCCCTCATCATACATTCAATAGCATACACGGTAGGATCCAGCGGGAAATAATTTCTCTCAACTGACACGTTAAATATGGAAGGTCATGAAAGAAAGAAAGAAAGGTGTTTGCTTATAGCTTGAGGTATGCAGTTGAAAGGCTGAAAATTTACTTTTGACAAGCCAGCAGAGTAGGTGACCGAGTGATACTGCAACATGCATACATACGTATATAAAATAGCTGACATACACTGCGCTTTTGTAACGGTTTGCGTTGCATTACACACATTTAAAATCCTGTCGGCACCTCAACACTTTCAACTGCGTGAAACAGCGTAAGAAATACACTCTCTAGTCTGCTTTCCATTCAACACCTACTCGTCTTTCCGACTGCAACTGCTAGTGGTTGTAGTGAAGTAATGACCACACACGGCAGTGAAATTAAGTAATTTAGTTGCATGCCCCGTGAGTACGCGCCAGCGCAAGTCATTTTCATTTCACTATGAGCTCCGTTGTCAATGTTAAAGCGGTATGCCAGTGGTGCCTTGAATATTCTTCAACATTGCGTTGCGAATGTGGCGCGTAGCAGCATTGGCCCTTGGTGTGGTCAGCCAAGTAAACAGCATCCAAGTAGTCCAGCAAACAGACCGTCGGGAGACGTTTGACGGACAGCTGTGAAGGTAGGGCTGACTGACTACACTACTACTCGGTGGCTAGAAGTGGTAACTGTTGGCTGTGCTATTATGTGGTTGTAATTAAGAGATGTTTATGCTTTCACCAGCGGTTATCCCCTTTTCATTAAATTTTAGTGTTTTCATTATCCTTCTTTTTCAATCTTTTTATTTTGAGCATTTTAATGTGGAGGGAAAATGTTAAATAATGTTACCGCTGGAGGAGTTCACTGGCAAGTGACCCACTATTTAATCGAAAATTGCAAAAGAAAGGTGCTGGCCCTCATGCACCCACAATCATCGTTCTGACCAATATCTCTTCATATACTATCTTCCGCACAGCCATGCATTCTGTCAATTTACGGCTGCCAAAGTAATATTTAAAAAATCCTTTACTTTACTGAATGCATGTAAATGCAAATTAAATTCATTCTTAATCAACTCTGCCGTCAATCCAACTCGGCTTGGTGATGGCCCAATGTCGTATGGGATTTCATTATGTGTAAATATAATCGAGAAAGATAGGGAGAAGTGTTACTGACTGAATCTTGTGCGAATTGAAGAGTAAGGCGTAAGGCAAAGTAGAAAATAAATTGGATTCTCTTAACTGTGGGAAAAGTTGAATTTTTCAGCGGAAAGAGTTCATTCGCGCAGTGTGAAAACCAACAAGTAAACCATGCAGGCCGTCGATTGATGCAAAATGGTCTCGTGCTATCAATTAACCGGTGATTTGAACAAATGTCAAGATTGTATGCCTATGGCTTAAGCTGCAACTACCCATGTTACATACACACATACACACAGTCATAACACCCGACTGTAATAGAATATACAAACACGAGTATTTTTTTCAGGACAACCGTCAGTATCGGCATCGAAAAGCGATGAGAGCTTTTCTTTTACATGACGCTCTCATAAAATTAGGTTGTTATGGACGGAAGGTATGCGACATTTTACATTTTATGCCATTTTTTCCTTGAATTTACCAATTTGGGTTTACTCCCCATAAATACGTAGATGTAGATGCGTTATAATTGCAGGGTGACACAAAATTAAATTTTAAATTTTTTTCTAATTGTCAAAGACGGTTATAGGAAGAAATTTGAACAGAGGAAAAGACGTTCTATTAAAATTTTCCTCTTCCGTCAGTTGAAAACTTCGTCAATAAAATAAAAAATTAATATTTTCCGCGATGTCTTCGGAATGGTGTACATGTTATAAAACACAACCGGAGGAGAAATCATGTGGATGCGTAGATGCCGCTCCAAAACAATGTACTTGCGTAAAGCCGCAACCTGAAAAAGTGGAAGTGGTTCCAATTGATGAACCGATTAGTCTGCAACGCCGGGAGGTAGATGAAACTATGTACGGTCGAGTTTTTGGTGTTTCCGGTCCAGGTAAGTAATAATATGCTTTTAAGATCCGAAACTTGTATGATAATATAAAAAAATACTTTTTGTTGTAAATGTTAGTCGTTACTGCTGAAAATATGTCTGGTTCCGCCATGTATGAACTAGTGCGTGTTGGCTACTTTGAGCTTGTTGGTGAAATTATACGTCTGGAAGGTGAAATGGCAACAATTCAAGTGTACGAAGAAACTTCTGGTGTTACAGTGGGCGATCCCGTATTGAAAACGGGTAAACCACTTTCTGTGGAATTAGGCCCCGGTATAATGGGCAGCATCTTTGATGGCATACAACGTCCTCTACGTAGCATCAATGAACTCACAAGCTCAATTTACATTCCGAAGGGCATAAATGTTACTAGTTTGTCACGGGATATAAGTTGGGAATTTAGGCCAGGCAAAGTTTCTGCAGGCTCACATTTGACCGGCGGTGATATTTATGGTATTGTACAAGAAAACACTTTAGTAAATCACAAAATACTTATGAATCCTCGTGGAAAGGGTACGGTGAGATATATAGCACCTCCTGGTCACTATACTGTCGACGAAGTTATACTAGAAACAGAATTCGATGATGTTGTTAGCAAGCATACTATGCTGCAAGTGTGGCCTGTGCGGCAACCTCGACCTGTTGTTGAGAAATTGCCAGGCAATCATCCGTTACTAACAGGCCAACGTGTGTTAGACTCACTTTTCCCATGTGTTTTGGGTGGAACCACAGCCATACCGGGTGCATTTGGCTGTGGAAAAACTGTTATATCACAGGTAAGTAAGTAAATTATTTTATTCAAATATTTAAATGATTATCAATATAATTCATTATATAGCCTTTATAATATGAATGTCTCAAATTTTATTTTAACGGTGAACTTACTACATAATTCTAGTCATTGTCAAAATATTCCAACTCAGATGTCATTATATACGTTGGATGCGGTGAGCGTGGTAATGAAATGTCTGAAGTATTACGTGATTTTCCCGAGTTGTCTGTTGAAATTGACGGTGTCACGGAGTCGATCATGAAACGCACCGCCTTGGTCGCCAATACCTCCAACATGCCTGTAGCAGCTCGTGAAGCCTCCATTTACACCGGTATTACACTCTCCGAATACTTTCGAGATATGGGCTACAATGTTTCGATGATGGCTGATTCAACTTCCCGTTGGGCTGAGGCTCTACGTGAAATCTCAGGTCGTCTAGCTGAAATGCCTGCTGATTCTGGTTATCCAGCCTATTTGGGCGCACGCCTGGCATCATTCTACGAGCGTGCGGGTCGCGTAAAGACTTTGGGCAATCCCGAGCGTGAAGGATCTGTTTCAATTGTTGGTGCTGTATCGCCGCCTGGTGGCGATTTCTCAGATCCAGTTACCTCGGCCACACTAGGGATTGTGCAAGTGTTCTGGGGATTGGACAAAAAATTAGCACAACGCAAACACTTTCCATCCGTGAATTGGTTAATATCGTATTCAAAGTATATGCGTGCTTTGGATGAATATTACGAGGAAAACTTTCCTGACTTTGTACCGTTACGTGTGAAAGTAAAAGAGATATTACAGGAGGAAGAAGATCTATCGGAAATTGTACAGCTTGTGGGAAAAGCATCATTAGCAGAAACTGACAAAGTGACCTTAGAGGTGGCGAAACTGATTAAGGATGATTTTCTACAACAAAACTCCTACTCATCATATGATCGTTTTTGTCCCTTTTACAAAACGGTTGGCATGCTTAAGAATATTATAACCTTCTACGATCTCTCACGTAATGCTATAGAATCAACAGCTTCAGAGGAGAATCGAGTAACTTGGAATGAAATACGTCAAGAAATGGGAAATATTCTATACGAATTATCTTCTATGAAATTTAAGGTAAGTGTTATTTTATGTACTTTCTTTTGTGAGTAGATCTAAGGCATGCCACAAATTCAATGACTTGTTAGGATCCACTCAAGGATGGCGAACGAAGAATCAAGCGAGATTTTAAGAAACTTAATGATGATATACATGCAGCTTTTAGTCGCATGCTGGAGTGAAGCTGAGTGACAAAATTTATTAAGCTGTTTATTGATTTTATTTGGCTTTATTGAGGGATTTGTGATAAATGCTTTAGAATTTATAGATTTTTATTTAATAAAAATAATAATTAATGAATTAGTAAAATTAAATCTTGTTTATTAAACAAAAAAAATTTTATAATTTGAAGTTATGAGAGCTTTTGTACATATAAAATTCGGTTAAGAATTAAATTTTATGGTTTTTTTTAATACTTTCCTATATGCTCACATACATACTCACATACATACATATATTGTCGAAATGTGTATTTTATTGAGCTCAACCGGTTATAAAGTAGTCCTTTTTGATATATATTTTTACGAAAAGTTAACTGCCGAATAAATAACTTCCTCAAACTAAATGCATGACAGGTTTGGCATAGAATTGACACAAAATAATAAAAGAAAATTATGTATTTCATCAGTTTCGTCAAACCCTTAATGACAGTCTACCTATGTACATGCCTAGATAAGTCGGTATTTGATGACTTAGTCCTTTACTGCTTTTTAGCATTGCTACATTGTTCTTTTTTATTGTCTATTGTAAAACTATTTTGCCAACGTAACTACGTAGCTTAGACTTTTACAATGTTATCCACTTGTTATCCCATTAAGCGTCATAGTTACAATACAAACATACATGCATACATGCATACATACCTATGCCCATGGAGTTATTTCTTTTCATTCGTATTTCTGCACTGGCTCTACCATTAAGCGCCGCGCGTCAACTAACTTTACAATTTTCCTTCCCCACTCTTAGAATGTAGTCCGCCAAGTTGTCGGTGGCGGTGGTGTTTGGACGGCAAGTTTATTACGCTATCAAAATCAAGCGCACAACTGACCACATACTGTGCCTTTCATCACATGTGTAGATTTTCATGTTGAAATGAAATTTTCTTTGTTGACGTGTGCATTTTATTTTTATTTTCGCCATTTTATACCTTTTATACCGACGACTGAATGGCCGAGAGCGCCGTTCGTCCTGCACACTACCGTAGGAATTTGAATGTTTGTATTCAGTAAATATCCCTACAAATGTACATATGAAAATACTTATGTATGTACATATGTACACATTGTGTTGGCGACGTGTCATGTTTAGCAAAGTGGAACGCCACAAGCACTCACTTCACCTGCTGCGTGGCTGCGTTTATGACGATGTGGCAGATGGCAGGTGGCAGGTAGAACCGAAAATTTATTGGTGGCCCACAATGTGGTGAGTTTAAATGTTTTTAATATTTTAGCACTTTCGAGTCATAAATTGTGAAGTTTTCCGCTCTTCAGGTTGTTTTTTATTGTTGCTTTTTTAATGGCATTACATGAAAGAATGTACCTACTTTTGGTGACGGTTAACTTTTACTGTTATAAAGTATAGTATGGCAGTTTGTAAAGTTTTGCTGCAAAATATTGATATAAATTTGTTGAAAATAAAGTGTTTCAAATGATTTCGAGTTATTCAAGCTGAGATTTTGCAAGCAAAAGAGGAATTTGTGTTTAAAAGGGTGAAGTAATTTCTAAAATATGAGGGGTAAATCATTATAACGCACTCATTATGTCTTCTTACAATGAAGTAAAGGAACTTCATCCCATCAGTTAAGGAAACTGAAACTTTTGAAAAATAATTCAACTTATAGTAATATATTTATTAAATTAGACCATATATTAATTGCTTTTAAATGAGGGTTATAAGATATTTATGTATGTGTATAGTTTTCGAAAACTGAAAAAATTCATTAGATCAATAATAAATATGTGAACACGATTACAACAAAAAATGTTATTTTACCCAGTACCTCATACCTAAACAAATTAGTTGTATGGGGGCTATAAGAATAAGTTTTCGAAAACTGAAAAAAGCCAAATGTTTTTTTTAATCTACATATTAATTGACAAATTAAAAACTTGCACTAATTTTGAATTCGTAGCCTAATGGAGCAACCATCCAGAGTAAAATTTGCATAAAATAAGTTAACTATGTTTCTTCACCTTTAGAAATATGCCGTGGTCCGTTTTAAAAATACAATAAACTAAAATTAACACATATTCGGTATGATCGAACCACACACCACATACATTTCCGGCTTACCTAAAAACCCTTTTTTTTTTTTGGAAAAACCTTTTTTTATTTAACCAACTAATCAAATGAAACTAAAACTGTAAAAGTAGTATATGCATGTTTACAGTGAAATGTATGTAGCTTGGGGCTGCACATTTTATTTCAGAATGCACTTTTATGCACAATACATTTTCAATATGGTAATTATTATTTACATACATTACATTCAACAAATGAAGGTTAGAGCTGTTGCAGCGAAAACAATACATTTAGATTTTTTAATTATTATTTTTTTTTTTGACAAACAAGAAGTTCAAATATACAAATAATACTACGGGTATGCATTTTTAAATATGTTTATATGTATATGTATATAATACGTGTGTACATGTAAGTAGGCATTTAATCCGCTTCATTCATTTCTATTTAAATATTCCGTAAATTGAATGTGCATTATGCGGATAACAAATATCCATTTATACAGCATTTGTATGCCTAACCTGCTTGCGTATACTTTCGTGTGAGCGTTTGTGTGTAAACAATAAATGCGTACAGTTTACATTCCAAAAAGAAATTACAAATGTTAACAACAATAATAATGGAAGTACATTTTAGGACGTTTGTTTGTTTGTTTGTATATATATTTTCACATTTTTCGCCTGCAATTAACATTTTCTGTTTTTCGTTGCGCTTATTCAATAGAAAAACCAAAAGTCCGGAATGTTGAGTTTAGTTTTTAGCATTTTCACAGAAAAACAATGGAATTTGTAAAGTAAATGTTTTAATTAAGCTTTCTAAACATTAAAATGGAATGTATGCTATTTTTGTTTTTTGTCTTTTTTTTTTTTTTTGAAAGGAATAGTTTGTGCCACTTTTGGTATTCTTCGTTTCATTTGCTGATTACGTGGATTGACGCGTTTACACGATTTTCCATTAATTAATCTACATAACAATATTATAGGCTCCTTGTCTTTTAGTACAATTTAAAATTAAAGCAAATTTGTGTAGAAATGGCTAAAGTTGGAATTTTAATCTTCCAAGTTTCTGAAAGCCTGTTGTAAATCTTCGTGCAGTTGCTCGAAATCGGCCTTGATCTTGGCTTCGCCGTCTTTCACGGGATCCTGTAGTGTGAGAATTATAACGGTCAATAAGTAGGAATTGTTTTCATCTCTGAAAAATTCTCGAACTCACCTTGAATTTCATTGACGACAGCTGGTACATGATGTTGCCCATAGCTTCACGGATAACATTCCATGTGATCTTGTTCTCAGACTGCGCCGTCGATTCGACAGAATGGCGGGCCATGTCGTAGAAGGAAATTATGTTCTTCAACATACCCACTGTCTTGTAGAAGGGGCAGAAACGATCGTAAGAGGAGTAGGAGTTCTGTTGCAAGAAATCGTCCTTCAACAATTTCGCCACCTCAAGTGTGATCTTGTCGGTTTCGGCCAGCGATGCTTTACCGACCAGTTGTACGATTTCAGACAAGTCCTCTTCTTCTTGCAAGATTTCCTTGACCTTGGTACGCAATGGCACGAATTCAGCAAAGTTCTTTTCATAGAAATCATCCAAAGCGCGCATGTATTTCGAGTAGGAAATCAACCAATTGATTGAAGGGAAATGTTTACGTTGTGCCAATTTCTTATCCAAACCCCAGAAGACTTGTACGATACCCAAAGTGGCGGAGGTGACGGGATCTGAGAAATCACCACCAGGTGGTGATACAGCACCGACAATAGAGACGGAACCCTCACGTTCAGGGTTACCCAAACATTTGACGCGACCAGCACGCTCGTAGAAGGAAGCGAGACGTGCACCCAAGTAGGCTGGGTAACCAGAATCGGCAGGCATTTCAGCCAAACGACCTGAGATTTCACGAAGAGCTTCGGCCCAACGGGAGGTGGAGTCAGCCATCATAGAAACGTTGTAACCCATATCACGGAAGTATTCGGAGAGTGTGATACCAGTGTAAATGGAGGCTTCACGAGCAGCGACAGGCATGTTAGATGTGTTGGCAACCAAAGCGGTACGTTTCATGATAGATTCGGTGACACCGTCAATTTCAACAGACAATTCGGGGAAATCACGCAATACTTCAGACATCTCGTTACCACGTTCACCGCAACCGACGTAAATAATGACATCAGAGTTGGAGTACTTGGACAAAGCCTGTGTGGTTAATTATAATTTCAATTTTAGCACTTTATTTCCTATTTTTTCATCCTTACAATCTTATTAAATTTACCTGTGAGATGACAGTTTTGCCACAACCGAAAGCTCCGGGAATGGCGGTGGTACCACCTTGTACACAGGGGAAAAGCGAATCCAATACACGTTGACCGGTCAATAGAGGATGGTTGGCGGGCAATTTCTCGGTGACTGGACGAGGTTGACGCACAGGCCACACTTGCAACATAGTGTGTTTGGTGATCTCACCATCGAATTCGGTTTCCAAGACGACATCGTCGACTTTGTAGTTACCGGTTGGGGCGATATAACGTACGGTACCCTTGGTGCGTGGGTTCACAATCATTTTGTGCTTTACCAATGTGTTTTCGTGCACCAAACCGTACAAGTCACCTCCGGTGATGTGTGAGCCAACTTTAACGTTAAGTGGATTGAATTCCCATGCTTGAGTACGTGACAAACTGGGTACGTTCACACCCTTGGGAATATAGATGGATTCGGTCAACTCGTTAATGTCCTTCAATGGACGTTGGATACCATCAAAGATGCTACCCATAATACCGGGACCCAATTCAACGGACAATGGTTTGCCAGTACGCAAGACGGGATCACCAACAGTTACACCGGAGGTTTCCTCGTATACCTGAATGGTGGCCATATCACCCTCCAAACGAATGATCTCACCGACCAATTCGTAGTAACCTACACGCACCAACTCGTACATAGCAGAGCCAGACATACGCTCGGCTGTGACGACTGTATGGATCCAAACAAGAAATTTAAGTTTGTTAGCTCATAGGATAAATAATTGCAATATCTGCTTACCAGGACCGGATACGGCGAATACACGACCATATTTGCCCTCATTATCTTCATCATCGAAGCGCTTCAAGTTCGACATTTTTGCTGTTATAGATGTTTAACTGAAGGGCGTAAGAAAAAAATGTACATTTGATACAATTTGGCATTATAATACAACTATTTCTAATATCAGAAGCGGAATATCGTGAATACAGGTGATAAGTCAGCTGACGGCTTATTCTCTAATTAGATATCAATTCTCCCTTATCACTTCAGATTAACATGCACATGGTTTCCTCTGCCTATTAGAAATGCTTGAATACTATTATATGTATATCTCTAATTTGATATTAACTAATTGCATTGGATTTTAACTGGATCAATTTTAATTTTCTCTTATCAGTTCTGATTAACATTCATATGGTTTTCCAAATATAAATTTGCTAAAAATGCTTTAATATATTTTTAACTGAATTCAGAGATCATAAGATAGATGGCCAAAACATTTTCTAACATTTAAAACTTTGATTTTTTCAAATCAAAACACAAAATATTCGTACTTCAGTAATTAATAGAAAGCTTTTTATTCACGTGACCAACAGCTTAGTAGTGTTTTAGTGTTATAGCACTTTAGTCGAAGTTTGTGATCGTGCACGAATGTAAAGCCAACTTATGTTTTGTTGTAATGAAAAACTTTCTTTAATTAAAATCTTTTAGCTATTTGATTTTTATATTCATAATACCTTGCACTGAATGCAAATGTCCAACACACGAAAAATTTTAAAAAGCCAATGATTAATGAAAATAAAAAACTCCCATTCGAAGTTCGAAACTTTGACAGTTAGCATCTGACGTTGATCACAAGACTGCTGTCATCCGCTAAGTGTCAGCTGACGGCTGATTACACACGATCAGTAAAAAGAAAAAACTGCACTGCGCAGGCAACCATTTTGAATTTTTGCCAATAAAGCAATTAAATACGGACTTCAATAACAATTCAAAATATCTAATACATTAACATTCTGCAAGAACTTATTTGTTTGCATAGCTATGCGAACTGAACCGATATAAAACATTGTGCTTCTACCGATCACAAGACATTCGGGGTCAGCTGACATGTTTGCTCAACAACCTCACTTAATTTCTACTCTTATCCTTTTCCTTAAAACTCTCAAGAAATTTACCAATTTTGATCTTTGTTTGTTTAATCAAATACACTGCACTTTCGATTAGGTTTTAACACTAATAACTTGACTTGATTGCGCTTATTTGAAAAGTGCCAAGTGTTTTTTTTTTACAAAACTACCCTACGCCCAGTTTTGGTTTCATTATCTAATCAAAATAGATTCTTATTGACTTTCCTACGATAAATGAAATATTTACCGTTTCGTTTAGTGTGTGTCCGAGAGATAGTTAGGCTAATTGGATTTTTAAGCAAATATGAAATATCTATCACAGCACGGTGGTGCGGTTAACTCACTTTTTTGATATAGAAATAATTACACGAACGTTGCGCTTCTCCAGCAGAACAAGACCAACTGTGAAAATTGACTTTGTCGCCAGCGAATCTGTTTCGAAGTTCGAATTTCGAAGTGATCGTTACAATTGAGCGAAAAGCTCACGGTGAGCGAACTTCGAAAGAGCGACGGCGGCAAGTTCGAAAGCAGTCGAATTTCGATGTTGCCAGACCTGTTTTATTCTGACAGTGTTTTTAATTTTCAGGGTTGTTTTTTTTTACTTTTTAAAGGAAAATCTATTATTTTTTTTATATAAATCTGTATAAGCTTATCCTTACCTGTATATAGGAGAAAGCAAGATTTTGGATAAAACAAATATTTGTTATGAACCATAAATTATGAAATATAAAACGAAAAGTAATGTGAAAAAAGTCACATTTTAAAGGAAAGCGGGGAAAGATCACACTATAACTTTTTCGCCCCAACATCAAACACATGTATTTGCATGAAAACTTGACGAAAATTAGTTTTCGCTGAAAATCATTTGAAAATTCAACGTTCCACTCATTTAAATTATGTACGTTGATGTCCAGAGACATAAGCATACCCAACGTGAAAAATGTTTTTGGCGATTATTAGTCTTATTTACATAATTGCATCAAAAATTCAGATTCATCAGGCCTAGAATACCACACTCCTGAAATGAAATTCGGTTAAATGAAAATTTTCCTCAAATATGGCTGCTTTAAGTGAAAGTAGCCGAAGATCCGAATGTATATTTCTCGACGTTCTTCAGTGCCGGCTCTTTCTTACGACGCATTCTGGCATATATTGCACTTGGACTTACACACCCATATAAAGTCCAGCGCATACAACAACCGAAATACGCTAGCTCGAATAAAATTGAATACAGTTCGTTAGCCCCTAAAAAAACCTACTTTCTGGTGCGCTCTTTTGGACCTTTACCCTTTATTTTGAATGTACGCAAAAAACCGCATTTTTCTCACTTTTATTTTCGAAACAGCAAAATAGATATTCCTGTACAATCTGACAGTACTATAGTTCGGTGTACGTTTTTTATGGCATAAGAGTCTTCAGGAAATATAAATTTATAATGAACCTTTTTGGATGAATTAAAATCAGTTGACTTCAAGAATTCAAGCATATTCCTTAACTCCCAAGAGTCTCGCCACCTCAGACTTTACTGATAAACGATTTCTGTTCGGGCTTTTCGGGTATCTATTACAATTAATCAAAGACAAACGAACTCCCAATTATGTAATCAGTTGGTACAGTATTATAAAAGTTTACAGCTTTTCAATGCAATGCCCGTAACTTTGTTTAATTAAACTCTCAGTAGACCAAATGCTTGTAGTTTGATAAGAGTGGCGCTAAGTTCGATATTCGAAGAGTAAAGCTTTCGCTTTTTCGCACAGTGCTACCATTTTAAATAAACAAAGCTTTTGGTTTATTTTTTTTTTTCTAGTTTAAAACTACAATTAACAGGTTTTTTTTTGTCTCAGAAATATCCCAGATTTTAGAATTGCGATTGTAAGTGAAAAAACAATAAGTATGTGACAATTTATTACCGCATGAACCAATTTCGGCCAGAGGGGATTTCAAGATTTTTTTTATATTAAACTTTGCTATTTTATTTATAATTTTCCGATTTAATGACGTATTGACTGAGCTCATTTCATAATTTTTCGATCGACTTTTTTCGAATTAAATTTGCAATTTAGTTTGATACAACATTTGAATAAAAAAATTAGTATTCTCCTTTCACTTTTTACTTCTGGTCGAAGCTCATTTATTTCTGCAGCCGTTACATCGCGTTAGTTAATAGAAACATCCATTCGCTGGTAAGCATTGAAGCACAACGCAATTTCAGCGTCTCCCAGACGACATCTGCGTGTCTTGAGCAATGCGACCACAGTCAGCTACCACAGTCAGCTACCACATTCAGCCACTTCACGGCCAATTGGTCTTTTCAATTAGTAAAGTGACAAGTAGCCGCCACTTGGAAATCAGCCGACCACACATTAAAACCAAGAGTGAAAAACGGGGGGAAAAATTAGTGTACGGCAGGCATAAAAGGCCCTCCAATGTCCACAAATGCACACACTACAATTTGAAATCCGCATTGGAGTTGACGCAACCAACGACAGCAACGCGCAGATTTTGGAACGTTAAGGACTAGACCACCACAGTGCGAGCTGAGTTAGTGAAGGCCTTGTAGCCTGATGTGCATGGGTATTAGCAATCATTATGGTGCTGCGAAGCAAAATGCGTTCGCCATGGATATGGACTAGAGTGCGGGTTGGCTGCATTCTTTTGGTGCTCGGCTATGCTTTGTCGGTTGTCGAGTGCGCATATGCACCGGCAGCTCTGCTGGCACAACCAGATGGCGCAGTTGCAATTAGTGCTAGTTTACAGCCAATCTTTGATGATTTGCAAGTAGCTGGTTCCGAGAAGCATGAACATGAAGATGAGAAAAAGGAGGAGGAAGAAGAAGCGGAGGAGGAGGAAGAGAAAGAGGAGTCGTTTGAGGAGAAATCCGAAGAAGAAAAACATAGCGAGAAGAAGAAAAAGAAGGGTGAAAAGGGGAAGAAGGGCCACAAGGAGGAGGAACATCATGAGAAGGGCGAAAAGGGACATCACGACAAAGAGGGCAAGAAAGGCGAGAAGGAAGAAGAGCATGGACATGAAAAAAAGCACAAAAAGGACGAAGGTCATCACAAGAAACATAAGAAAGGTAAAAAAGGTGAAAAGGGACATGAATTTGAAGATCACGGCTCTTACAAGAAGGGACACTCGATAAAAGGCAAACATCATGTACACAAACTGAACGAGGATAAAAAGGAAAAGAAATACTATGACGAACATCACGATGAAGGTGAAGAGGAAAAGCACGGTGGTTTTGAGGAGTTGAAGAAACACAAAAAAGGCGGTCATCATAAAAAGGGCGGCCATAAGAAGAGCGCTCATGAGGATGAATATGGAAAGAAGGGCCACAGCAGGAAGGGACATAAAAAGAAAGGACACAAAGGCCACAAGAAGAAACATGAAGAGAAGAAGAAATGGGGCGAAGAACATGAAGGTGGCAAGAAAAAGGGTGAGAAGGAGAAGAAGAAATGGAAAAAGTCGGAAAAGAAGGAGAGTAGCAGCAGTGATGGAAGCCATGGCCATGGACATGATTGGTGAACTATTACACATATGAAAATGGTTAAAGCATTGGCTGTGGCAGTGGCGTTGGAAGTGATACATGAATTCGTTTCAATAAACAAGAATTAGGTGTTGGTAATACTATTTTGATATTCGCTTATTAATTGTATGTAATGTGTTTTTGTGATTATTATTGTTAGTATAACGAGCCGCGAACTTAGATATGTACTGTTATTTTATTTTGGAAAACATAAAAGAACTAAAAAAGTTCAAAACTCGTGTACCCAATGTTTGAGAGGAATCTTAAAGAGCGAAACTTAGGTAGACGACCGCGGTTGCCGAGTGGTTAGCATTGCATACTGACATTCGGAAGGCCCGGGTTCAAATCATGGTACCTACAACATCCAAAAGTTATAGAAAATTGAATTAAATAAAAAATTAAGTTAAATTTTCTAATTGTAGTCGCCCCTCCACGGCTCTGAGTGTATTTCTGACATGAAGTAAAGCTCCTCATAAAAAACCATCAGCCGTTCGGAGGTGGCTTCGCATGAACTTTATTTCCCTCCATTTGTTGGAAAACATCAAGACGCAAAACCACAGATTGGAAGAGGAGCTCGATCGAAAACCGCTTCAGCGGTTACAAAGCGTCAAATATATATAAAATATGTTGAACTGCGTCACCCATTATAGAACATAGTAGCGGTATGGGTTCGGAAAGATATGATTTATAAGAAATGTTTTTCTAGTCCAGGCTAAATAAAAAATTATGATATGACCTCTCCACACTTAGAGACCAAATGTAAAATTTAGTCGAAGTTCATAAGTGACGAGTTCGAGAACCTTAAGGATAAACCAAAATGTCCTTACGAAGTTATACCTTGCAAAACGAGAACCTCCGATGTACATCTAACACTCGTTGATCTCATCAAAAAGTTACTCTCTATCCCATAGAGAAACCGAGAATATCAGCCGAAGCGCTCATATCCCGTTTACCTGTTAGGAGTCCTTTACTGTTAGCTTTATCTGATATGTAATTCCTTATTATGAAATCAACTAATGCGCAGCTAATAATTGTAGAAAAAAGGAACTGCCGTATCCATGCTTTCTCTGCTTTTTCCATTTTCCAATTTCCTCTAAATTCAATTTCCGATCCTAAAGTCTAATTAAAAGGATATCCTGCCATTCGGACGCTGCCACCTTAGTTGTGAGTACACATGTGTGTGTTTACAAATAAACACGTCCATGAACTTAGCTGAAAAATCTCTACTTATTAGACGATTATTTCGGATGATACACAGGTATGCAGCACCGGCTTTTGCCGCACCAAACCTCCAACCACAAGTTGTAATAAACAAATCACTGCTGTTCCTTTTGCAGGATTTATGCCTGCACGGCACACAGCACATTTACTAGCCACATACTCGTGTGAAGGTAAAAGCATTCGCAAGGCCAATGTATGAAACGCTAAGCTTTTGGTTCAAACACAACACCGAGACCACGCCCCGCGCGCTGCTCTTCCCCCAGCAGGCTTTTGTGTTAATTTGTTAAAAGTTCGTCTGAGTCATGGTTGTGGTGTCCGTGTTCATTGTTTGTCATGTGTTTCTGCTACTGCTTCTTGTTTCTGTTGTTGTTGTCGTTATTGTTTGGCTAAGCTGTTAAAACAAATGAAGAATTTCCGGTGCCATGTGATTTGGCCAGTGATGCAGTCCGTTCGGCAATGACCAAAATGCCAGGTGGTGGAGTTGCCGCTTCGTTCGTCCATTGTTTCGGGCTACGTCTGCGCTGCTAGGTCCCACCTGCAGTGTTCTCCCCGTTAGTCATGGGCACATTATTGGGACGACGTCTATTGGCTAAGCCATGGCCAGGGTCAACGTTAGACGGGCTCTGGCTTTGTGTTAAAGTGTAGAAATACCTAAATGAAATTTCCGTGTTCATTGTTCGCCTGGCGGAAGTGCATAACTTATGCTTTATATGCATGCCACAAACAGCCGTGTTGCACGTACATACATACATATGTGTGTAAGTGATCTGTGTGTGTTGTTATTATTGTTGCTGTTGTTTTAGTAGTAGCAACACCGATGCTGCTGCCTGCGCCATTATTACTTGGCAGGCAGCATCAGCAACGGGCAGGCAATGCACACACACACACACGTGTTCATCTTGTTCTATGAAATTTCTATTGTTGCTGCGTGCCTAAGCCGGACCATAACGGAGCCGGCGCTGGGATCTACCAGCTACCTGGCGCCTTTGCGGGTGGCTTCAATAACCACCCCACAACAGGCCGAACCGTTGCTAATTTGTACGCCTGCTGTTGACTGAAATGGATTTCCACACACACCCACACCCACACCCAGAGAGGCACATCACTTGAGTGGGTTGTGGGTTGTGGGTTGTGGGTGGTCTATGGTATGCGTCTCAATAGTGTTTGTTTTCATTTATTGTGGCTGGCCAGTTAAGCTATTTCTTCTTCTTCACCCTCGGCACATGGCACACCGCTGGGACTAAGCAAGTATGATGTATTTCCACCTCTGTTGCTCTTTTCGGTCCATTGGGTGCTGAAATGGCATAGTTGGGCTGCTACTCGGCTCCAATCCACTCCACTGTTGTCGGTGGTCATAATTCAGTTACTGTTGCAGCGTAAGCTATTTTTGTAAGTGCATGAATAGTTATCTATTTGTATACTTGTGTGTACTTCAAGCTTCCCCCGCCGGATGTTATCCTGTTGCGGCATGCATTCCAATCTGAGGCATAATGGCCACTCGCTCGTGCGCTGCCGTCGCCGTAACTGCCAGTTGGTCAGTTTAAGGGATTTCCAGTTGCTTCTACAAATGGACTTAATCCCTTTGTGTATTAGTGGTAGTTATGGCTGTTGCAAGTCCAGGCTCGTAGTGCATTTACTTAGAGACTCAAGGTTGGCCAAATTGCTGCGGATAATACACCCACGACTATGTAAGGAGCTTATATTCTATATATAAATATATATAAGCATATATGAATGCCTCTAATGGTTATTGGCACACACACTCTCACACTCACACACACATTCACACCCAAGCGCACAAAGGCAAAATTTCAGCTTAGAGAGTTTGTGGGCGTTTATAAATTCATAAATAATTTTCGTTTGAATTATATGCTCAGTAGAAATACTTAAATGTGCAATAATGCTAGAAAATTTCTCCTTATAGCTTATAGCATTTTGAAATATTTATTATCTAGAACACACATACATACATGCATCCATATACACATACATACGTAGACCTGGGCCTGTGTGCTGCACAATGCTTTTATTTGCTGTTATTCAGTTGAGCTTTGCACAAAACTTCTCTCTGTCGTCTGTTGTTTGCTTGCGGTTTTTCGGTTTATTGTCTTGAGTTGTTAGTGAAAATATGTTGTTTGTTGTTGTAGTGAAACAACATAAGCCATTTATCATAAGAAAAATCAAGCCACACATAATAAATAAAGTAGTAAAGATAAAATTGGAAATTCTGCTTAATTACTCACCGAAGAGCCATTTTTCAAAATTATAGAAACAGTTCAAGGCGAAGAGATGCTGATGCTTTTTGGGCGTGGCGATGAGTAGTCCAAATTTCATTGCTCTTAGAAGTGCTTTGTCGCCTGCTCATGGCCTCATGGTGTTCAATGTAGCGAAGGAAAAGGTCTCACCGAGCGGAATTATAAGTTTTGAAACCCTTTTTACTACTCAAATATAAACAAATTTTCCGTTTTACACCAGAATACCGTCATTTCTTAGAGTAGTTGTTTTTCCTAGTATAAACTCAATTTGAAATTATTTCGTTGTGGCATTCATAATTTGATGTTTTCTCATATAATAAATATTTTTTTCGAGACTTTTATTTAATGAAGCCTCTTAAAGGATTCCAAAATTTTGTTATATTAACAGCTAAGCGCCAATGAAGACGATTAAAAGTATCTACACTTGTGGCCACTTGGTGACTGCCACAGGAGTGAACATCTCTTCTTTCTCGGATCACAGGTTTGTAGAAGGTAATTAAAGGAGCCGGTGGTGCGGCTTTTACTATCAACTGCCTCAGATCTTCCCCCCTCTTCTTTTTCTTCATTGGTGTTGGCAACGCTTATGTGATTAGAGTCGACTCAACAATAGCCTGATATAGTCATTTATACGTATTGGGCCGAGCATACAAAGGCTCTTATAGTCAGGCATGCTCTTGTCCGCCTATATTCTGCGACGATGCTGTTATATTCATCTCATCGTCTGTTTGCTATCATATTTGTTTAGTTCTACCGGCAGGTAATCAGCTCCTGTCGTCTTGCTGTTCTTTAAACGAGCAATCGCTTTTCGGAACTCGTCATAGTCGAATGTTGGAACTTTTTTCTATCCTCATCGATTTGGGTTTCAGTTTCACCAGATTCCCTCTTTGGTTTCCACATGAGTGTCTACTGCAGTATTGAAGCCTTCGGTAGGCCGCCTTATAGAGTAAGCAGTCCTCTAGCGTCCTGGAGCATTCATATGACACTAATGTAAGGCTGGGTGGATTGCAGAGATATCAAACTGATACTAGCTACTACAAAGAAAAATGGAATTTAGTATCGCTGTAGGTGTTTTGGCAACTGAAATCAAATTAGTCGTGGTAAGATAACCGGTTCCGATCAACTTTTTTCTCTTTCTAAACTCAAAATTCCACTCCTGGGCACTTCTTTTCAGTCGATGGAAGGCGAACATTGCAAATGTTTGAAAGCCGATCCGGGCGAATTTCCAGCGTTGGTATAATCTCATCATTTTCATTCTTGATCGCCATGTTCAAAACAAATATTTTTCTTTCACCCGAGATACGATTGGCCATAGTAGACAAAATACCAACTCATCTGACTGTATTTCTGACATGAAATAAAAAGTTCCTCATAAAAATCTGCCAGCCTACCCAGCCGGCTAAGAATACACGTTTTTGGGAATACGTCAAGATGAATACCTCAAATTGGACGAGGGGCTCAAACAAAAATCACTTCGGCGGTTACAACAGTATTTCATGCTTCCGTATTCCTCTACTTATTTGTTATCGGTACTTTTCCTCCCTCAGCCACCTTGCTTTTATCACCTGTGTATGCTCATTCGACTCAGAATCCGCTTCACGTTTTCTATATTCCTTGATCGGTATTAGATATTCCTTCATTTCTTGGGAAATTATCTAGACGCACAACACAAAGTGGCGAAAATGCTCGGCCAGGAATCTCTTAAGCGGCTATAAAATGATTATGGGCA